AAAGTAAAATCATGCTTCAAACTCCAAAACCTATCCTGATCTGCCAAACCTCAAAACCCAAACCAAAACCAAAAACCCAAAGCCAAAAACTAACCCCAAACACCAGACACAAAAGCCATACACAAAACCCTGACCCCAAAACTAACCTACACTCTAAACCCAAAAGTCAAAACCCAACCTAGAGTGTATCCTAAAACCAACGCCACGCACCAGTCCCAAACAAAGAAAAACAAAACCCAACCCACAACCTAGCCTAAAAGCAGTCCCAAAATCAAGCCTGAAGCCGAATCTGTTTCCTTGTTTGGAGAACTAGGCTGACTTTGGGGTTTGTTTTAGGGTAAGTTTGGGTTTTGGCTTCTGTGTATGGGACATGTTTCGGGCCGAGAGTTTCGTGTAGACTATGAGTTGTGTTATGACTTTTCGGCGGATCTGGAAATCTAATGTAAATTTTATATTCTCACATCTGTTACAAAATCTAAAAACCTTTTTGAGTTGGTTTTCCGTGGACTTCTTTGTTGCAAAATCTAAAAACCATTTCCAGTTTGAGATGCTTAAATTTTAAGTATTTTTGTATTACATGATAATTGTTTTATAACATACTGTAGTTCAACCAACATTGTCAATCAATATCCTCTCAACCACCAACCTGCTATACCTAATGTTTAAAGTAAAATCATGCTTCAAACTCCAAAACCTATCCTGATCTGCCAAACCTCAAAACCCAAACCAAAACCAAAAACCCAAAGCCAAAAACTAACCCCAAACACCAGACACAAAAGCCATACACAAAACCCTGACCCCAAAACTAACCTACACTCTAAACCCAAAAGTCAAAACCCAACCTAGAGTGTATCCTAAAACCAATGCCACGCACTAGTCCCAAACAAAGAAAAACAAANCTCTCAACCACCAACCTGCTATACCTAATGTTTAAAGTAAAATCATGCTTCAAACTCCAAAACCTATCCTGATCTGCCAAACCTCAAAACCCAAACCAAAACCAAAAACCCAAAGCCAAAAACTAACCCCAAACACCAGACACAAAAGCCATACACAAAACCCTGACCCCAAAACTAACCTACACTCTAAACCCAAAAGTCAAAACCCAACCTAGAGTGTATCCTAAAACCAATGCCACGCACTAGTCCCAAACAAAGAAAAACAAAACCCAACCCACAACCTAGCCTAAAAGCAGACCCAAAATCAAGCCTGAAGCCGAAACTAAAAATCAAAATCCCAACCCACAACCTAACCAAAAAACCCAAACTCTAACCCAAATGTAGAACCAAATCCCAAGTAACCAGACCTAGAAAAATTATAATCCAATCCATGACTTTCATTCTTACTCAATATCCTCCCAAACAGCTACCTGTTATAGGTAATGGAAAAAACCACTGCCAATGACTTTTATGGAAATTGCATGACTTTCATTGTTAACAATGCTTTTATGGAAATTGGATGTTAATATTTACTGTACAATCAAAGTTAATAGTAAAACTGTGAAAAGTAAAAAGGAAATACTTACGAAAAAACCACTGCCAATGTTCGTATTCAGTGGTACAGTGTAACAAGCTTTTCAATTATGTCTTATTTAAAAAAAATTTCCAAACATGTTTGTAAGTGTAAAATCCATTTACAAGTAAAAAAAATTTTCTTTTTAAGCTGTGTTATTAATTTTAAATTCTAAAACCTAGGAATTTCCTATTTAAATTGTATTAATTAAAGAATTATTAATTTATGTATTATTGAATATTTTATAGTTAATACTTAAAAAAATATGAAATCAAATCATACGATCATGATTAAAATGGTTATTCAAATTATTAAAACGGTTTTTAAGAAATTATTTTAGTTATGGAGACAAGAATGCCATAAGCAATGTTACTGTCATGCCTAACAAGTATAGTATGCTCCTGTAATGCGGCTGTCTATTTTTTACCCATAATTAGTTATTTCTTATCATACGCTTTGTATAAAATACAGCGCTTCATTCCTATTCCAAGGAATGTAATATTTCATTCATTAGGCTCATTGTTCAGTATACATGATAAGTGTCATTTGGGTTTGGTTTTGCTGTTGAAATGGGTTTTGAGTATTGTGTATGGCACTGCTTACTATACCTGATCTTTGGGGTTGGTTTTCAGGTAAATCATGGGTTGGTTTTTAAGATTTTGGGTGAGACTTAGGGTCAGGTTTACGGTCAGGGATTTCGTGTTTACTATCGGGGTATTGATTATGGTCTTTAGTGCTGGTTTTTGCTTATACATGCTATAATTTCTCTTACACTACATTTCATATTGCCCCTATATCTTAAAAACAAAGAAATAGACACGAGATATGCAACAATAGGTATAAAGTTAAGGACATACTAACAAATAACTTATAAATAACACAACATTTGTGTTGTGTCTGGCTTTACAATATTTATGAAATGAATAAACAAATAATATTACAGGTAAATTTTGAAATACGAAAACACACCATACAATCATGGAAACTCGGAGCCAGCGGTCTCGGCGTGAAATATTGGATCAGCATAACTTCAGGAGGAGATTGGCTTTCAATGAGAAAGCGAAAGAGCAAGAAGCATCATCATCCCAACAACCACAACAAGTTGGTGTAAAGAGACCTCGCGGACGACCAAGAAGCAAAATAACAGAAAATAAAGGTCAGTGTCATACTTTGCATATAGCTAAATCACGTCGAATAACATTAACAGAATTACAAAATCTATATATCTTACATATATATATGTATCAAGAACATCATCAGAAAGAAGTGACCCACCAAATACAAGAGAAATGGATGACCCCTACATGAACATAAATTTTATCCCTCCATACAAATTACAATTCAAGGATGATTGCACCTATTGCGGAGCACGCCGATACTGCAATGAGCCACCAACATTTTGCTGCGCCAAAGGTCAAATTGTACTTGCAAATCAAGAAACACCAGCACCATTACGCAATCTATTTTGTGCAGCTGATGACCTATCAAAACATTTCCAAGTGTGCGTGAGAACATACAACAACACTTTTGCTTTCACTTCGATGGGAATTCATAATTATGCAACAGACTTGTGTCGCCGAAATAAGGGCATCTACACATTCAAAGTGCAAGGACAAATATACCATTTCATAAATGACATGATTCCAGATGGCTGCCCTCCGAGAAATTTGCAGTTGTACTTCTATGATACTGAAACAATCTCACAAGAAACCATGGCCTACCATGGAACAAGGCTGGACAAGGAAGTAATAGATGTAATTCTCAGTACTCTTGCAGAAAACCCCTATGCAAAATTCTTCCACAATTTGAGGGATATAAACACAGTAGAAGAATTTAGCATTATTCTTAAAAAAAATCCCACCCTTGACCAAAGAGTATACAACATGCCCACCGCATCACAGGTTGCAGCCATTTGGGTAGAAGACGATGGGAATGGGATAAGTGAAAACAGGCACATTCGAGTCTATGCAAAAGGCGGCCATTCACAAACCATTCAATATTATTATGGATGTTATGACCCTCTTCAATATCCCCTACTGTTCCCCCATGGTGAAACAGGTTGGCATGAAGCCATTGAGAAAAGAAACACAGGGCAAACACCAATGACAAATGAAGCTACTTCCCACATAAATATTACATCAAATGCAATTGGAAGTGCAACAGATCTAATAGAGGCAGAAGAAGAGCAGTTTACAGAAGGTATACAAAAGAAAAATAGAGTATCATGCCGAGAATGCTATGCATACAAGCTACAAATGCGACCATTGAATGAGACATTTTTACTCCATACAGGAAGACTACTACAACAATTTGTAGTTGATATGTATGTGAAATTGGAAACACAACGCTTGGACTACTTCAGACAAAAGCAAACAAAGCAACGAACATCTACACTAAATGATTTGGAACAAAGCATAGAGATGGGAATACAGTTTGGAGCTGATGTTGGAAAACGGATTGTGCTACCAGTAACTTTCATTGGTGGCCCACGAAATATGCGACGGAGGTACATGGATGCCATGGCACTTGTACAACGATTTGGGAAACCAGACTTATTCCTAACAATTACATGCAACCCAAACTGGCCAGAAATAAAAGAGTCATTGCGCTACGCAGATGAAGCTCAAAATAGGTCGGATTTGATAGCACGGATTTTCAATGGCCGATTCCATGAACTGAAAATAGATCTGTTCCAAAGAAAAATATATGGGGAGGTATCAGCTTACATGTATGTCATAGAGTTCCAAAAAAGGGGATTGCCTCATGCCCACTTCCTCATAGTGCTGAAAAAACACAACAAAATTATTTCTCCAACTCAATGTGACAAAATCATATCCTCAGAAATACCTGACCCTGGCCAATATCCAGAACTGTATTTCAAGGTCAAGAAACATATGATTCATGGCCCATGTGGCCCCCTCAATCCAAAATGCAGTTGCATGACTCAAAAAAATCCAAATCAGCCACCGCGATGCAAGAGTAAATACCCAAAAAAATAACCGAAGAAACAAGTTTTGATGAAGATTGTTTTCCCATATACCGCAGGAGACTAACCACAAACACTATTCATGTGAGGAACTGTTCTCTAGACAATCGTTGGGTGGTCCCCTATAGTCCATACCTACTCATGAAATACGATTGCCATGTAAATCTTGAAGTATGTGCCACTGTGAAGTCGGTGAAATATCTGTACAAATACATATACAAAGGCCATGATAGAATTGGGTTCAACATTGAACCAAATCAGAATGAGGTCATCGACGAAATAGCAAATTTTCAAAAAGGTCGATGGGTTTCACCACCGGAGGCAATGTGGAGAATTTATGGCTTCACAATGACAGAGATTAAGCCATCAGTAATACATTTGCCAGTCCATCTCCCAAACCACCAATACATCAGCTTCTATAAAAATCAAAGAATAAGACAAATAGTGGCCGGCAACACATCCAGCAGAACCATGCTCACCCAGTTCTTCCATATGAACGCCCATGACAGCCTTGCAAAACAATTGAAATTGCCTTATATACAATTTCCAGAATATTTTGTTTGGCACAGCCAACAAAAACAATGGGCACCGAGAAAAAGCAAAGACGTCATTGGAAGGATATCATCAGTTAACCCTGCAGAAGGAGAACGGTACTACCTGCGCATGCTACTACAACATACACGCTCCCCAACATCCTACGAAGACCTCCTAATGGTGAATGATCAAAAGTGCACCACGTTCAGGGATGCAGCAGAGAAACATGGGTTACTTGTACATGATACCTGCATTGAAGAATGCATGACAGAAGCTATCTCCTACCAAATGCCATCAAGTCTACGACGCCTATTTGCAATATTATTATTACATTGCGATGTTCCAAACCCAAAGAAAACATGGGAACATTTTAAAATCGACATGTGTCAAGATATCACAAAGGATGCAAGCATAAACATAGCAGACGCAGAAAAAGCATGCCTTAGAATCATATCTGATTACTTGTACAGCATGGGAAAAAACATAGACGACTATGCCTTGGTATCTTACAAAACAAACACCTCCCAACAAGATCGAATTACACGTGAAGTTGCAGCAGAATACAACATAACAGTAAAAGATGCCGACATTGAAGCTATTGCTCTACTAAACACAGGCCAAAAAAAGGCATTTGATGAAATAATGAAAGCAGTCAAGGAAAACACTGGGAAAGTCTTTTTTGTCGATGGACCTGGAGGCACATGAAAAAGTTTCTTATACAAATGCCTCCTTGCATCAGTAAGAATGCGCAAATGGGTTGCTTTAGCAACTGCAAGCTCGGGTATTGCAGCATCTATCTTACCAGGTGGACGAACAGCACATTCTTGTTTTAAAATACCCATAGATGGCCAAGACTCCATAACTTCCAACATAGGAAAACATCCTTCTTAATTATATTCCAGCAAGATCTTATGAAGGTATTACCATAGCTTTTAGGCACTAGAACTCCAAGAAAAGATTCCTGCGTAGCACTGATGACATCCTTCTTAATTATATTCCAGCAAGATCTAAAAAAATAGCCATTAAATCCATCTGGTCCAGGGGCACTCCGAGGGTTGAGGGACCAAACTGCCTCTATAATTTCCTCTTCTAGTGTTAATTTGCAAATGTTCTCATTATCTGTCTGTGTTTTCCAGGTGTTCAAGGATGGGTTCCATGGAGATAGGATTACTTGAACTGAAAAGATTTGTAAAGTGGTCAATGGCTATCCCCTTGATAGATTCCATATCCTTAGTAGTCCTTCCTGCATGATCTTGAATTGCTCTTATCTTAGATTTAGACCTCCTCCCTTTAAAACATAGCCATGAAAGAATTTTGAGCTACAATACCCTTCTGAAATCCATTTGAGATTAGCCTTTTGCTTCCAGAAGCTCAATTCATTATTAGTAGCAAGAATAAGCTGAGCTCTGTATTTATTGTCTTCTGCCAAATTTTCAGGACTAGGGTTCTTCTCATACTCATCTTGAGCAATTCTTGTTAGAATTAGTGACCAACGCTAGAGGGGGGGTGAATAGCGTTTGATCGTAGTAATCGCAAGAATAAAAAAAAATTAAGAACGTGAAAAATAAAGATCGTAGAAAGCGTAAAGGGAGCACACCAAGATTTATACTGGTTCACCACAACGTGTGGCTAATCCAGTCTCCCGAGAGACTCTCTCGAGCTACACTACTTCCGTTAAGCTTACGGGTGCTTAACAAACTGTTACAACCTGAGAACTCGAGTCCCACGAGCCTCAACAACACTTGCTCGGAGATACCGCACTCCAAGACTTCAACCCGAAGGAAAATACCTTTCCTTCGTACAACCAAGGGAAACAAGCTTCCCTTGACGTGTATACAACACTAAGACACTCAAGAACAAGACTCTCCTTAAGAGTAGATATTGAGTAAACTATATACGCTCAAGAACAACTCAAACTTCACA